CACGCCTGAACATTAGTCAGTGCCCGTGGGACTGGGGTTTCCGCCAATGAGAGCACCCCATGCCATGTTTTTCAGTCAACTGAAGTGACCCCATGTCTGAAAAGCTGGATCTTGGCTATTAACCCATGTGAACTGGATGACGGCCAGCACACTTTTTTGACTTTTTTCCTTGTCTCCTGGCTGCCCTTTTGCTCTATTATGGTTGTTGACTGTGTCACTTTTTCCCTGAATATGAGTCAAAACAAGTAATACTTTATAGAGTGTGAACTTTTCTATAAACTCAGGAAATGGAAGAGGTGACATCATAATTGCCTTGAGTTCCCTTTATGATGAAGACTTTTTTTTAAAAAGGTATGTTTATGGGAAGAACTTAGTGAAAACATTAATGAAAATCTTGAAAGAATTAGGGCTATTAAGGATGTTAAAATAGCAAAGGTGGTTAATTGAAAAAAATTGTAAGTCTAATGAGAATAGAGGACAACTAAGAGAAGGGTGCTTAGAAATTATACAGAGGAATCAAATATCAGAATCACCTCAACACTCCCATCCATGTTTTTGCTTGCCATCCGCAGGACACAGGGGAGGGGGCAGTGAGCTACTTACTCCATCATGCTTCTGTTCTTCTGACACCTTCATCTCTTAGATTAAAAGGACTACACAAGATAGGATAGAGGGATCTCATGGAGCCTCAGGTCTGGTGTTCTCCCTGGGGGGCTTGAGGGGACAGAAATGGGCCTTGGGTGACGTTTGGGGTGGGGCTGGAGTGTCAAGGAAAACCTGGGGGCCATGAACGTGGAAAGCCAGCTTCCTGAAAAGGAAAGTGATTTCAAGCAGTTCTAGCCGATACCAACTAAAGGTGGTGGCCAGCAGAGGTCCTGCTGACGTTGCTTCAAGTTTCTTATTATGAAGGAGTCTATTCTAATTTTTTCTGAGGTGTGTGTTTACCACGGCCAAGGTAGAACAGGTGATTGATTACCAGGTAGAATCTTAAAAACCATCAAAGGAAGTTTTCAACTTTTGAGAGTTATTCCTATCAATGATCTAATGTCATTCTGTATTAAACAGTCATTATACTGAAGATAACATTTGTCAATTCAGCTGCTGGTACTTGATTCCATCTAAACACTTTGGACAGTCGAAACAGAGGTTTGAAGAAGGTTAGTTGAATAAAATGCTTCCCCTTAAAAGAACAGGGCTTTCTTCGAAAAGGCCAAATGGACTGGCAAACCTCAACGAGGGAGGGAAGGTCTTTGCAAATAGTCTAGCAGTGAAGTTAGTGCGCAGCCAGACTACCGCGTGCTTTAACTGAACCGCTCTCCCAGGTCCTCCCTGATGGAGTCCCGGGGAGCTGTGAGACTATCGAGTAAACCTGTGAAAATGACCTAGAAGGACCCACCCGTAAAGATGAGCATGTACATCTGGCGTGGCCAGCATGAAGATGATGCTGAAAAAAAGAGTCGGTGGCGGAGTGGCACGAGCCAACTACAGTTATCTGCACACCCCTCGGCCAGGCTTTATACCAAATAAAGAAAGGGCAAAAGAGAGGAATGTATTAATATGTTCTCATAGATTTGTATGTATTTGCTGGGATAAATTTTCTTTGGTATAGATGGGATATATTCTTCTAAGCTGCAAGCTGATAATGAGGACTTAGGTCTAAGAAATGTCTAAAATCAGGGTAGATGAATATGAAAACATACAATTAGTGGCACTTGTACTCATGCCTGTGTTAATAATATGGTCACAAGTGTATGCGACGTTGTATGTGCTTGTGTATGTACCTAACTACATGTATCTTTATATATTCCAATAATACAGATTTAAACTAATTTCACAAGGCATACCAAGGGCGACAAGCCACCGCAACACTATGCCCAAAGCATCGCATCTTTTCTCTCCTTTACATAAAATATTTCCATAAACATTACTCACCAGGCATTTGTGGCTGGTGATATGCAGATAATCATAACTTTAAACACTATATGGTAAACCATTTGGAAGAATTAGCTCATTTAAAAAAGGAAAAGTAAGGATGTCACTTGACATACATTTAAGCACAAAATCAGATACAGATTCCTGGGTGGATATAACTGCAAAAAATATTTTCTTCGTCTTCGTTCAGCTATTAGTGTATGAAACCTGCCTGGAGAACCCTCAACTAATCCAGAAGGGAAAGCTCTGTTAGTGAATTGCCCACATTCCTTCCTTCTGATCTTGCTGTTTTCCGCTTTTAAGCTTTAGAGCGCTGTCCTTTTTTTAGTCCCTCCTTCTATGAGCATATAAGGAAGAACAAGGGTATGAAGCTCAAACAGTCTGGTTCAGCTACTTGTCTACCATCCGAAGCTTTACCTTGTGGGGAGCTGAGAGGCCCTCTGGCAGGGAAGGCAGTCAGATTCTCCCAGGATGAGTCTGGGAATTAACTGGATTCCATCTACCTACTTTTCTCCATGGCTCCTTCGTCCATGGAAAAGAGGTGGCTTTACTCAGAAAACCAGAAAACTCTCCTTACGGTAGCAAGTAATGGCTCCTGGGTGGAGTGGGGGAGGAAACGGTGATGATATGGAAGCTGTGGCCAACTATTTGTCAAGCTGCCTCTGTCCAGGTAACCGTTTGTTGACTACCTTCTTATCCAGTAGGACAGGTAGCATCATCATGTCTGTTAAGGAAGAACGGTTTGAAAGAGGACACTCTATATTAGAAGGTTTTCTCTTGGTATTTGAGAAAGCAAATCTTAGCTCCGAGCCGGTGCCGGGATTGTTAAATAGCTCTGATAGTAATTTACCCAGTCAGAAGGAATGTATTTTTCTTTGTGCATGACTTTTGGTTTGATTAAACATTTTTCTGGTTCATACTGTCTAGTAGGGGTTATTTGAAACTAGAAACAGTCTTAATTTCCCATGACCTATATGTACTTACATTAACCCAATGGTAAAGAATTTAAAAAACAAAACAATTTAAGGCTGTTTTTCTTGCCAGGAGCAAAACTGGAATAACACAGGTCCCACACAGGAACTACTCACGGTCTCTCTGCCATTCAACACAGTCCCTCTCCAGTCGCTCATGATAACGATGGGAAAATCCCCACAAAGGACAACAGAACAGGATGGAGAGAGGCGGGGCCACACAGACAACACACAGCAGTCATGAGCACGTGCTGAGGAGGACAGCCATTCCCACTGGCCTGTTACTGTGCAGACCAAGGACAGGCAGGCGATCAAATCAAATTCCTTGTTTTAGGGGAACTAGGTCCTGGGGCAAGAGAAGCAGCATGAAGGGATGTGTGCGAACACACGTCTGCAACCGAGGGGAAGGACAAGTGAGTTGGAGCGTCTGCAGAACAAGGTCAGAAACAGGAGGCAAGGCCATGAGGGCTGCTGGCAGGAGGGCAGCTGGAGGCAGCTTCACTGGAGTAAAACATTCTGCTGTCACGCGGCCACCACTTCATTCAACACGTGCTTGCTAATCAACAGCTATCTGGTCGGGAAGGAAAGAGATCTTTTTCTTGTCTGCTCTTTTTGGCCTTTGGTCAGATAAAACTCAGTCCAAGGTTATGACTGCTTTCCCCAAAGCGTCGGAATAAAAGGATTTAATAAAACCTCAACACATTTCCTATCTCTAAATGTACGACTTATCCTCTTATCTGGATTATAAAAGTTAGTCTTCATTTGGATGAGTTCTAGGTGCTTCTTTACCAAACAAATTGCAAGGTATTCTTTTGGGATTTGAAGATATAGAATTATTGGGGTGTTTTTTTTTTTTGCTTTTAAAAACACAACTGCTTGATCACCCTTTAAAAACTGTACACTTAGTCAATCATGGTTTAAAATAAGGCAACTTGCCAAGGACCCTTTTCTTAATGCTTAAAATGGGCAGAGGCTGGGTTGCCCGGTAGGTAATTAGGTCCCTGAGTCAGGCTGTCATGGTCCTTCTGGATGTGGCTATTCTCAGGCACAGGGTAGGGATGTGGGCCCAAGCTGAGGGAAAGGCAACTGAGGTGTCCCTTCTGTGGACCGAGGACCTTCCCCAATTGGAGGGGCCAAGGCTAAGCTCGAGCCTCAGATATGACTCATCCTCTGGCCGGGCACTATTCTCCCCATAGATCTAGAATGCCGGAAATGGGCAGGCTGTGTAAACAACTTTGAGTGCTTTGGTGAGTCTGTATGTTTCAGAGCTAAGTAATTCTGTAAGCAATTTGCCTCATTCTGCTTCAACCTGCGTTAGTTGGAACGGGGCCCTTAGGAGATGCACTGCTATAGGGTGACCCCTGACTCCGGGGGCTTGATAAAGACTTCAGACAGTACCTCCGGGGCGGCTCCTCGCCACTCAGCCTTGTTCTGCTTCCCAAGGCCTCATTTCTCCTCCTGTATAATCGCCATGAACCTTTGGGTTTTAGAGCTGGAGGGGACCCTTAAGATCATCTGATCCAGAACTTTCAATTTTCAGATGGGACCCTGAAGTCCAGTTGTGGGCAGTGATTGGCCTCAGATTCCTGCAGGTGACTGGGAGCTGGCCCCATGCATCCTGATTTCTAGCCCATTGATTTTTCTTTTATAACACACTTCCTCCCCTCAGATGAAGGGAACCAAACTAGAATCAAACCAAAGCCCTCGAAACCTGCAGGTACCTGTCAACCACAGAAACCTATGGTTAAATACACAGTCTACACATTACAAAAGACTTCGGGTGGTGAGGGTGGGGTATTTCTGGAGACAAAACAGAGGTAGGCAGCGTACGCCTGTCAAAACACGTGCTTCTGCTCCTCCATCCCAAGCTTTAGCTCTCCCCGTGACGTAACCTTTTAGGTCGTCTCTGGCTGACCACTGTCTGTGGGGGATCTGGGGGGAGGCTGTCCACCAGAGCCGCAGATGCTCACTGCGATGGTACCTGCTAGTGCATTAATGTTGTTCAGTCCGACAGTGGCCCCTGCCAGTCCTTGCAGAGTCCCGAGAGAGGTCAGAGAATTCATGGCCGCACCAGCAGTGGAGTTGGGGGTTGAAGCAGCCACTGCAAAACAGAAGACAGACAGGGAACCCGGGAGAGAGAGCACAGGATGAGTGAAAGCCAGATGGCCGGGAAGTAGTCTGTGCCCATCACAGCAGACAGAGCCGGGGAGCCTTCAACCATGGGCAGTCTGGGAGTTGCGCTTAGGTTTTGGTGTGAAAGACATGGGGTTGTCCTTGTGGCAACTGTGACAATGAGATCTGGTGAAAAAAAAGCATCACACATCTGTTGTGCCAGCCAGCGAACATGTGCATTGCTGGTTAGTAGGGGACAGTCCACGATAGGAAGCCCGCCCTCCTGGGTGGTGGGTCTTTCACCAGCTGCACCTTGGAAGCCTCTGAACAAATGACCCGCACAAAAAAAGGGGGAGGGAAGGAGGAGTAAAATGGCGTTTCTTGGCTTTCATATTGCTTATGCTTCAGACTTGGCATTTTCTCAATGAAGCTCAAAAAAAAAAAAATTCCTGGGTTTGCCAGATGACTTCAGGACCCAGGTAGTGGTGCTTATAGAAGTGGAGAGTGATAGGAGATAAAGCCATTTTGGTCCGAACTCTCCTTCCCCTCCCCCCCTCCCCCTTTAAATAACCGCTTTATTGGGATATAATTCATGTTATAAAATTGACTCCTTGAAAGTATACAATCTACTGATTTCAGTATAGTCACAGAGCTGTACAACCAGCACCACTAAGGTTGTAACATTTTTATGACCCTCTAAAGAAACCCATACTCGTTAGCACTCATTCTACATTCTCCCCTCTCCCTTGACACTGCCAACCACTGACCTACTTTCCGTCTCTGTGGATTTGCTTAGTCTGGATATGTCATATAAATGGAATCATAAAATATGTCATCTTTTGCACCTGGCTTCTTTCACTCAGCAAAATGGGTTCAAGGTTCATCCACGTTGTAGCACGTGTCAGTACTTTATCCCTTTTTATTGCTGAATAATATTCCATTCTGTGGAAACACTCCACTTTGTTTATTCATTCATCAGTTGTGGACATTTTGATTGTTTCCACTTTGGGGCTATTATGGATAATGCTGCTGTGAACGTCTGTACACAAGTTTCTGGGCAGACATATGTCTTCAGTTCTCTTGAGGACATACTTAGGAGTGGGACTGCTGGGTCATATGATAAATCTATGTTTACCATTTTGAGGAAATACTAAAATGTTCTCCAAAGTTGCTGTCCTCTCTAATCCCTTTTACACTTACAATGTAAATAACATTTCAGGTTATCTTACATTTGTATAGCTTGATAGTCTGCTGACTTTTTTCACATGTATTATCTCACTTTATCCCAGTGATAGACGTAAAAGCTAAGCGAAACTCTGACCACTGATAAAAGTGGCGCTTGAACCACTTCTAGCTGTGAAATCATTGTGAGCATGTGAACTTCCTTCCTTCTAGGATGGCCGGGAACTTCAGTCCATCCTGCTGGAATGTTCCTGCCCAGATGGAGCTCATTCCTGCTGTGCTTTCAGAAACCACACAGTATTGCTTGCAATGCACCTTGCTTGGGATTCCTTCTGGGTGAGCCTATAGATCAAATGCCTGAAAAATGAATTCCCCACCTTGCCACATTTCTGCCCATGTATGGCATTAGCTTCTGACTCCTCATAATGTGTACGTATTTTCTTTCTCTTTTAAAAGTAAAATTATACATAATCAAGTCAATGTTTCTATAGTCCTTTTGTGTTATGAAACTTTTCAAGTACACACAAAAGGAGACGATAGTGACAAATTCCTTCAAACTCATATCCAGATTCTAGAATATTTGAGAACCACCCTACTTCCTACTTCCATCTTATCCCTACATACTTCAGTATGCAACTCTAAAAATTGAGGACATTTTCTTTTAAAACCCCAAACCACTGTTCTCTTTCCTCTTGAATCAGTTTTATTAAGGTTATAGCTTTCTAGGAATTTGTATGTTTCACTGAAGTTTCTGAATTTATATTGGTATAAAATTACTCACAATTTCTTCTTAATAAATTTTAAAAATCAGGAGCATTTACATTTAAGTCCCATTTCTTTGTCTGCTTGATCTGTCGGTTACTGAGGGAAGCACGTGAAAATCTCCACTATGGTGATGCCAATTACTCCATGCAAATATGTAAATTTGGGGGAATACCTCTTGAAGCTCCTTTACAACTTCCATGTTTGTAGATCATGGAATGTTTGTAGATGTTTGTAGATGTTTGTAGATCACTGTATCTTCTGTTGAAATAAACTTTTTGTGGTGACCTCTTCATTTCTAGTTTTACCTTGACGTCTGTTTTATATGATGTTAAAAAAAAGCAGTGCCAGCCCTTCTTTTGTTATTTGCATGGTACATCTTCTGCCATCTTTTTATTTTTGTCTGTTTATATTTTAGCTCTATCTCATAATCAGTATGTAAACAGGTTTTCAAAAACAGAATACAGCCTAATAATTTGATAGACTTTCAGCGGAACTATTTAAATTTTGTGGTATACGTCCTGCCTATATTACATTTTTTCTCTTCTTTCTTGCCTACCTTTTAGGATTACTTGTTGGTTTTTTCCACATTCCATTTTCCCCCTCTACTACTGGAGGTAATATTTAATATTTGGAGGTAATATCTTTTTTTGGAGGTAATATTTAATATTTCTCTTCTTTTATGTATTACCATAAAAATTTTAAGTCACACATAACTTAAAAGATTCAAAGTTAACATTATCTTTATTCTTTGCCAGAACATTTTCTAGAATGTTTCTCCATTTGTGTATATGCTTAGGACAATTTCTAGAGACTTTAAGTGGTTGATTTTTTAAATAATTTTCACCAGTTATGGGTTTTTCACTGGCAAAAAGTCCACAGATATTCTCATACTACCATTCTAGAAGTTCTTCCCTGGTGTCACCTAAAGTTGTGTGAAAACTCTTCAGGCCTTTATTACTGGCTTAGAATCAGAACTGCCTTAGGGATAGTTTTTACCCCTTACTCACAGGCACAACAGTCTGTTAAGAGCTATCACATGTAGACTGATGCCAAACAGAAGTGTATTTTTCCGTGGGAAAGCGGGGTGGGGGCACTTCAATTTCTGGCAGTTAGGTGGTCTAGGTTACTAGAGAGACTCTCCCACTGAAAAAAACTAAAATGCTTACTTAATAAGAGGTTTTTAAAAATATTTTTAAATTGCATCAATAACTGACCATTTAGTAAGAAATACTCAGAAATCAATGATGTAAGTGAAAGATGGCACCCAGAGAAGTAAGTAGAGCATTGAAGGTAGCTTTCCCCTTAAGGGCATTTGGTGGACCAGATAAATTTGATAAATTTGATCAGTTCTCAAAGCTTCTCAGTACGTAAGAAATACAAGAAAGCCTAGGGCCCACCTGAGTAAAGCATCTAAGAAGAGACTTCCCTACCAATAAGTCTGGAACACTATAAAAGGCTAAACAGTCAGCGAACAAGATATACTCTCACTTCAGAAACGGTAAGGAAAACTGCCTGTCTCAAAACTTAGTGCGGAGTATGGCAAGGGGAATTTCCCTCTGATAATATATAACCAACCAGCCCTCACATCAGTTTTCAAACCAACTTTATCTGACTGGTCAAAACTGCTCAAGCCAGCAATTTAAAGTAGTCCCTAGCTTGTACTGTCTTCCAGCACCCTGCAGAATCAACTATAAGTCAAACCTTGAAAATGCCCATTTTCAGCAAAGAATTCTCAGAAATAAGGTTCCAAGATAGTTAAGCTCACAAGACAAAAAAAATCACAAGTACCAAGAGTAAGAAGCAGCAGAGACAGAGTTAGACACCATATTTAGATCCACCAAAACTTCAGATATTGGAATTATTAGCACACAATAGAATGGAGGTACATTTAACATGTCTGCACAATTTAAAAAGGGTGGGGGGCTTCCCTGGTGGTTCAGTGGTTGAAAGTCCGCCTGCCGATGCAGGGGACATGGGTTTGTGCCCCGGTCCGGGAAGATCCCACATGCCGCGGAGCGGCTAGGCCTGTGAGCCATGGCCGCTGAGCCTGCGCGTCTGGAGCCTGTGCTCCGCAATGGGAGAGGCCACAACAGTGAGAGGCCTGCGTACCGCAAAAAAAAAAAAGGGTGGAAAATGAAAAAAAAAAAGATTATAAGAAATGACCAAGTATACTGATAAAATTATTAAATAATAAAGTCTTAGAAGTGAAAAAACATAATCAAAATATAAAATTCAGTGGATATACAGATTTAACAGGGTATTAGATACAGTCATAGAAAGAATTTGGTGAGCTGGAAGACAGACCTGAGGAGATTATACATAACTGAGAAAGAAATGATAACAGATTAAGGGACATAGACTAGTCTAACATATGTCTAGCTGAAGTTCCTGAAGGAAAAGGGAGAACAGGGAAAAGGCAATATGTAAAGAGTTAATGACTGAGAATTTTCCAGAACTGATACAAGATCCTCTCCCACATCCACATGTTCAAAGGTCCCAGTGAATTTCAATCAGGAAAAATGAAAATAAATATAATTAGATGCACCACAGCAAAAAATGCAGAACACCAAAGAAGATTTAAAAAACAACCAGAGAAGAAAAAAAAAACCTCAAAAGACCACAATTAGACATCTCAGTACCTGATATCTAAACAGTAATAATGTAAGCAAGTTAGTAAAAGGTGCTGAGATAAATTAATCGTCAAGCTAGAATATCCAGCAAAAATGTATTTCATAAACTAGGACAAAATAAAGAAGTACTTTTCACACAAAAGCTAAGAGACTTTTTCACCATTAGACCTACACTAACTGAAGTGCTACTGGATATACTTCAAACTAAAGGAGAAATGATCCCAGGTGAAAGGAGGAGGAATAATAAGGATGTGGTAGATATATGGGCACACCTAAATAAATGCTATATAAAATAGCAATGGACTGAAATTCAAACCAAACCAAACCAAGTTAGAGCTAAAACACACGACAACATGAATACACGACCCATGGGTTGCGGGGGAGCTTTTTTGAGTTAAAGTATCATAAGATC